GTCTATGTGGAACACCTTAAGGGGGCTTAAATAGAAAGTAAAGCACTGATCACTATCATTAGACTTACCTTGCTGTGCAATTCTTTATATAATTATTTGGAAATAATGGAACTTAATCCATTTTTTAATCCTAAATATCAATAAAATTATAGGGCATTACATTAATTTATGAGATAAACTTACTCTAATTAATTCAATTAATATGTTAATCCACTAAATGTTTTAGTCCTGAAGGAAAAGATAAGTCAGATATTTGTTCTGTTTCAGTTTTATTTCCATTTGGAGGATCATCAACTTTAAACGTTTTCAGACATAAATCAACACAAAATGACTGCCCCTTGTTATTCAGGATAGAATAGTAACACAAGTGTCATGGTAACATATAAACATTCCATCTTCTGTTAGACTTTGATGACAATTTTTGACTTTGTAACAAAAGAATAAAAATCAGTTCTGCTGCTTGGAAACATTAAGGTTTTAAATAGTCAACCCAGCTTCCTTTGAAAGCACAAATTATTTATCTTGTATGGCACCTAAATCTTTAATGAAATCTGATCCATTACATTTCTTTCTGGTAAGATTTTTTGTTTTATTTTATTTTCTTGTTTATCTTATATAGAAAACATATAAACCAGTAATGTCCATGGAGAGCAGGGTCAAAAAATGGTCAGAGCAGGACAGTTAGAAACTTACCCATATGTACATGCATTCAACCTTGCTGCTGACACAAACTATTTGAAAGTACATTACAACCTGGAAAATAAATGTTATCTCTTGGAGTATTGGCCACTATCCTTAAATATTTGCCCGTTTCAAGACATTAAATGCTGGTTTCCCTGGGGGGGGGACAAAAAGAGGTACATTGACAAAGTAAATTGTTTAGCTTTTTGTACTTTGCAGAAAATATAAGGTGTCCTTAAACATTATGTGCAGTATCACTTCTCATAGTAATTTTCTTATACTTTTCATTTAATTTATTTTTAAATGTAATCTATATCTCAGATTTTTAAAAGTACTGTACTTATCCAATAAGGACAAATAATTTTATTTACACAAACACCACACAAAAGTCTTGCAAACTGAATGGAGACCTGATAAGTATAAAAGTTACTATTGAGGACAATTGAATAAGACAAAGTGCATACAACTGAGGACATCACCCACCTCAGCTGAAAAACATGGATTCCTCTGCCTGAAGACTATTCTTCTAGGGATAGCCTTCTTGTGAATTTTGACTCTTTCTGTAATGCTTAAGCACAGCTTCTTCACTTTCCTTCCCTTTATCATGCCTTTTGACATGGTGTGATGATTGCCACTTTTGACTTTAATATCTGGGATGGGTAAGATTTAAAATTTGAAAGTTGCAACTGATCATCCTGACCTTACAAAAGGCTGCAGGAGGCCATTGGTAATGCTATAATAGACTGGGTGTTGCTGAATTTTTTTCACTTAGGTTTTAACTGGTTTTAAGGATAGGAATGTGAGTTGAAGGTTTCCAAAGTTAAATTGGTCCCATTTATCCCAGAAAACTCATACAAAATTGAAGATTAATTGGATAGGAAGCACAGATATTGCTTTCATTTCTAATTATTTTATAAGTAGAAAGATAATACTTAATGTTTTAGGCCCTGACCTCTTTAATAGTGGTTCTTTGATGTATATAAATGAACTTTATTTTACTGTATGTTCATCAGATTGCAAGTAACCTTTTAATTTTTTTTTCCTCTAGAGATAAGAGAAAATTGCTATGGAGTTAAAAACTGGGGAAAATGCCAAGCTATTCAGCTTAATAAAGCAACAAATAAATCAACTTTGACACAGGTACAAAATGCTGTTTCAATTGAATCTTCTAATTAAAGAACGGTATGCAAGAATATTTTGAATATGGATATTTATATGTCTATCGCATGCTGCTCTTTGCTGTATGTTTATTCAGAATTCACTTATTAGGAGAAAAATCATATCTTGATGGCTAAGATATTACTATTCTGTTTGCAACATATTTGTTAATTCATATACTTTCCACCTACTTAAAAAAGAGAAAGTCAGTATCAGTAAAGAAAATGCTTTCTTGAAAAGCATTCTTGGTCCAAGGTTAGTTGTCAGGAGAACTGGCAGGTTTTTTTTCAGAATATGGATTACATTTCAGAAAACATAAGTCCATGGGCTTACCATATTTCACAGAAACTGCTGTATTTCACCTGATAAATGCCAAATATTTTATTTGACCGTAGCATGTTACTCTTTCCTCAAGGCTTCATGTGATGTAATTTCATGTGACGTAATTTTAAAGCTGTATAATGCAGGATCAATCACTTGTTATTATGCACTATAATGGCCTACATGGTACTACATAGTGTAATAAAATTCCTACAGTATAATAGTAGTATAGTATAATAGTACAGTACAATAAAAAGTGCATAAAATCTACCTGGTGAAATTAGGCCTCTCCTCTCCCCACGGAGGTAATAGGAACCAACAGAACCAATGAAACAAGAGAGGAGAAACAAACCAGCATGGTTTCTTCATTTTTCATAGAGACTATTACAAGAAAAGGAAGAAGACTAAGGATGCTATTACCATAGTTTACTGGATTTTCTTTCTCCCCCACCATCTTACTCTCCTATGCTATTACTGCTCACATGCAAGCTGCTAGGACAGGTAGGCAACCTTGGCTCTTTTATGACTCGTGGACTTCAAGCATGGCTGGCTCAGGAATTCTGGGAGTTGAAGTCCACGAGTCATAAAAAAGCCAAGGTTGCCTACCCCTGTGATTAAGGACAAGCGTATTCACTAAAAACTGGTAATAGAGGCTTTAAAATATTACTCTGATGAAATAATTAGTAGTAGAACAACTGCAACACTTTTTTATAAAACCACCAAGCAGTGAGGGATTATCCTTTCATGATTTTTTTGTTCTCTCTTTTTGTCTCAAAGGCTTTCAGGATGGGAATCTTTATGGGGCAACTCTTAACCTAATGGCCTAAACAACTACTGTTTATTGTAAAAACCACTGACAGACAGCAGGCAGTATAAATAGTCTGATAAAATAAAGTAACTAAACATGCAGTGACAAAAGTGGGTGGATAGGATATCAGCTTTTCACTCTTGTGTTCTTCAAGTAATAATTTCTAAGAATCATAGCCGAGTGGCAAAATTTGTTTTCTTTACTCATTTTCTTACCTTGTGCTGAGTGTGTGGGTTTTGAAGCAGTGATTTGCGGGCAGTCTCAGAGGAGATATTGATGAGACAGTAAAACACCCACACAATTTTCTTGGCAACAGTACAAAACAGGTTGCCACTGCCTTCTTCCAGAAATTGGAAAGAAAGAGAGAGAGAAATTACTTTCCAATCTAGCCTAAAGTCCTGGAATTCCCACTCATGTTTTAACTAGGCCTCATTTGCTTTTGAGCCAGGATGAAATTAGTTCTATGTTGTTACTTGCTGAGGCCATTACTAATAAGATTACATTCTGAGTAAGATATAAAAGATGATAGCAATGCGCCATACTGCATGATATTGATTCAACAACTGCATAGTACAGAGACTGAAACTATTCTCTGACTTTAAGTGCTACCTTATAATTTCTGTCTATAAGTCTATTGTCATCCTGCAGCATTGGTAGTACTGGGTCTTATTATGGGCCAGGTAGATGGCATATCACCCCCCCCCCCAAAAAAAGAGCAACCCAGGGCAATTCAAATGCTGCTCTGGATTATTTTATTATGCTGGGAATTCTTTACTTCCAACATTCATTCAGAATGAATTGTCCACATATGGGTGCATAAATACATTTTGTGATATGGGTTAATCACTAAAACGTCTTGTGGGTAATGCATTATTTGTATATGTGCCTTCTGGGCTTATATGCCATTCCAATTATTCCTGCTCCTGACCATTTACATATCCTATTTGATAACTAAAGTTTAAAAATACCTAACCACTTCACCCTACCCCTCCTATCAAGTAACAATTAAAAATCTCTACTTAAATAAAACTCTAAACTAGAAAAAGCGGGAAAATTATAACACGCCTACCTTCGTAGTCTGTTGGAAAAGTAAACTTTTAATTGCTTTCCTAAAATCTAGCAGGGTTGGACAGTATACAGGTAGTACAGGTAGATCATAATAGAGCCTGCCCACATGATGGTTATTAAGTGAGGCATCCACCTGGTCACCTCACCTAATGACTCCAATCTCCACTCTCCCTGATGCAGATGTTAAGTGACTGTACTGATCATTAAGCAAAGCATGGGCTACCTCAGGGGTCGGGGAGACACTGGGAGACCTATAGCAGATCCAGGCTTCCCTGCCCCTGGCCTCCCAAGTCCTCCCCCATCCCCTGAGGCACCCTATGCTCTGTTTCCTGCCTCTCAGGGTCCCCACAGGCCTTGGGCCTGCTTCAGCCCCCCTCCCTCTGTGTACCATAGACTTTGGACTTGCTTCCCACCCAGCCACTCAGCCACCCAACAGAGCCTCAAGCTAGCTACAAAAGCTACTGCCACACAAAAGGCTGTTGCAGCTCCCAGGCTTTGGGCCCACTTCGTACTCAAGCACACAGAGACTAGTGGGACTCAGCCTGTTACTCAGCCTGTTCTTTCAGGGCCCAGCACTACCCAACTAAACCTTTCTGATTTTTAAGTTTGAGAGACAGGTACCTGGCCAATGTGATGTGAAATTCAGCTTTTTTTTTTTTTTACAGAGGCAGCCTTGTAGCCACTTTGTGCTATTCTGCAAGCAGATGCTATTCTCACAAACCTGTAGGGGCTCCATTTTAAGAGGCTTCATGTTTTCTTAAATGGGGAAAATGTTAGAAGCTACTTGTACAATGGCACATACATTTCCTGGGCATAGAATATAAAATGATTCCTCTGTACATGAAAATCACAAGTTGGAGTATATACAAATCAAGTTGACTTTATTATTGCTAAAAGGAGATGGAGAAACTGAATTCAAAGACATGGGATAAGTGATGATTGTGAAACAGATCAGTAGCCACTCATGCTCAAGCGCCAAGTTAAGGTAAAAAGACTAGGAGGAGTATTAGTGTCTTTGAACTTTGATGTTGGAGGAGATTCCTTAGAATACAATTGTCAGTGTGGGAAGAATCCAGAGAAAGAAATATTTTGGGGAATACTAAATAGACAGAATATATTTCCCCAAAGGAATAATGGAGAAGATCTTTAAAAAGGCAGAAACTTCTGCACACGCACACACCCAGCCAGACAACTCAGCAGAAACCAGATTTTAGAAATGCAGATGTAATAATCCATTCAGGAAGGTTGGAGCCGTCCAGCTAGAAACTGAAGAGATCAGGAAGACAAAAGACTCTTAAAATCTACATACCCCACCCAAATTCTAAGGACAGAAAACATAATAGGATTAACCCACCACCATCAGAATATCAGAAAGGCACACTCAGACTCAGGTCAAAGTACATGACACAGGAAATACAAAGCCTCAAACAGGAACAGGAAACAACCTCAAGAGCCCCAGAAGGTATAAAAATCCACTCCCTGCTACATGTGGTCACTCTTTTTTTCCAGAGCCATCTTTCTGTCTGGCTCTCCTCTTCAATAAACTACAACCTTCTTTCTAAAGCAGTCACCATGTTGTTTATTCCCGGCTTGGACTGGACCCTGATGAAGATTTTTCCTTCAACAACAGGGAAGAAAATTGATGGATCATTGAACAATTCAATCCAGAATTCTCACATGACACACAGATGCCCAAGCTCAAATTAGCCTATTTCAGACACATGGTTAACAATGGTTAACAATGAAGAAATAAGAAATAATTTGTCAACCTGAATTATTATACTTTTATTACAGGATAGTCAGATTAAGCAATCTGCCCTCCAGTTCTTTTTTTTTTCCATAGGGAATGCTGCTTGCTTTAGAAAGCTCTCACTCTCACTTTTAAAAGTTTGCTATGCCACAATGACATTTCTTGTCATTGCTTCAGTTTTATAAACACTGGGTAACAGAAAAAAATCACAACAAACTCATTACCAATGAGCCTTTTTATTCAGGTGTATACCACTACACATAAACAGGATTTGCTGCTGCCTTTTTCCACGTGTCTCTCTCTTTGATTGCACTGCATCATTTTTAAATGCTGTATTGCATGCTGATTTCTTTAAACAGGTAAGTTTAGAAGAATCTCTACAATTTGCTAAGGTAATATTCATGAAGGAGAAATCAATCCCCTGTAGAGCATGTTTTTCTCACTTTAGTTCTCTTGGGATCATAGCCTCGGCATAACCCACTGAGGAATTCTCAAGAACAAGTCCTAACAGAGTAAATTGGGGTGACCTTATTTTTTCACTGAATTGTACTACAGGGGAGAAAATTGGAGCTGTATAATTTAATATGAGGATATTCCATTCCCCCCCCCAGTTTGTCCTGCTGCTATATAGAACAAGAGTGTATTCTCATTGCAAATTTTTTTCCCCAAAAATTCTTTGCAATCAATTTTGATCTTGATTATTCTCCAGCAAATTTCTAACTAATTCAATATTCAATATTTTATGATCTGTACTTAGGACACAGTGTTATTTCATTTTATTTGGCCTTTTTCTTATAATATTATGTAATTCTATGGTTTTCACACTTTCGTGTTTAATGGTGGTGCTCTGTTGCCTTGTTAACTAAGTAATTTTCTGTGAATCTTTCATACAGGTAGTCCTCAACTTACGACCACAATTGAACCCAAATTTCTGTTGCTAAGCGAAACAGTTAAGTGAATTTTGCTCCATTTTGCAACATTTCTTGCCACAGTTAAGTGAATCACTACAGTTTTTCATAAGAAACTGGCTTCCCCATTGACTTTGCTTATCAGAAGGCTGCAAAAGGTGATCACATGATGCCGGGACACTATAACCATTATAAATATGAGTCAGTTGCCAAGCACCTGAATTTTGATTATGTGTGACCATGGGGATGCTGCAACTCTAGTAATGTGAAAAACAAGCATAATTCATTTGTTTTCAGTGCCATTGTAACTTCAAACCGTCACTAAATGAACGGTTGTAAGTCAAGGACTACCTGTAACCATTGAACTAGATAGTCTATTAAATGGGCAATTACATCTCCATATCTGCTTACCACCAATCCAGAAGTTTGTTCCAAAAGTTTGTTCTAACTAGGAGTGTCATATCATTTTTAATTAGTGAATTCTTTAAAGTAATAGCATATTTTTATGATTCATGAGAAAGCTTGAAAAACATTAGGTTACTTTAAAAAATAGTAGAGAAGTTCTGTTCTTATATGGGATCTGAAGCATTTCTTTGAAATAATTTTCAAAATATGCACTATCTTGCCCCCACCCCTTTAAAAGAGCCAAAAAACATTTTCACTGAGATTTTATTTTGGGGCACAAAATTTAAACAAAACTTTGCTGAATTTTAAATCTTCACAGAAAACAGTGGATGACTCCTAAAAGCTCATTTCCCCAACGTTTTAATTTGTATTGCTTTGTTCTTAGATTAGTCCAGAGTCTAATAGTATAATTCTGAGTTTGGGGAGTATATAAATATTTAATGCTAGATGACCCACATAAATTGAAAATTGGCATGGCACAAAATAAGTGTACCAATCTGTACAATATACATGTAAATAAAGACTAGTATTCTAATAATAGACTCTGTTGCTATTGTAGAATTTTTAATTTATACTCCATGAAAAGAATTATTCAGTTTGCGTTTGTATTAATCCTAGTTGGGTGAAATTTTATGTTATTCCCAATTAACTTTATTTTCTATCATAGGACGAATGTGAAAATATTGAAAATATTGAAAAATACAAAAAATGGTTTTAAAGTAATTGTTTTGTTTAAAGAAAATCAGTTTAGATCAAGCACAGTGGTTGTCATAGTTAGAAAACTGATTTTAGATCACGTCGAAAAGGCTTGGGATGTACTGTATATCCCCCTGCTCATCATTTGTGTCACCAATGTAATAAACAGATGTGATAAACAGTAAGAAAGCTATATATTTTTACAAGCACAATAGAAGAATTGTATCTCTTCCTCTGCCAGTCATTCTTGATGCTTTTATGCAACTGCATTGAACCAGCTTCCACAGAAATGCTGCATAGAAAATAGCAGTTCACCTACGTAATTCATTTTGCCAGGCACTTGGAGTTGTAAGTGCTTAAAGTGCTTTAATATTTCAGTACATCGGCATGAAAACACAGGGTGGTTTAGATTATAATCTGCAATTGACAGTTGCTATTGGCATTTACATTTTTAAACAAATACAGAGCTGCATATCCAACTGAGCGGATCAATTAATCATTCAAAATAACAGTTCTATGAAATGTGTAATTTGCACATAAAATTGTATTTTTATTCTTCCTTTCACAGGCCTCTGTAAATGGGTTTTGCACATTTCTGTTTTAGAAATTACATAAACAGAATTGGGGAAAGAAAGATATAACGAGGCGCAATGTAAAACTAGCATAGATTTTACTATAATTTTTTTCTACATAATTTTTTTTCTTATATACATTTTTCCTTTGTGTTTCCAGTTTACCACATGTTACTTATTTGGGTCTTTTCCTCTGCAGGTCTCCCTTCCATCACAAAATGCAAAAATGATTTCATCTCTTCTCATTTCACAGACGATTGATGATAATAAATCAAGGGAAAATAAGACTGTTTTCCCTATGCAATCTGTAATCACCCAATCTGATGTTTATCACATGAACCAATCTTTGGCTAATCATAACTCAGTCAACATTAATACAGCATTCATATTTCTTCCAAGAACATTAGGATTTCAGACAACCTCTGAAGAAAATGTATTTAGTAGCAAAGGAGAGAAACAATGGAAGAAAGGTTTTGCTTCCATTACAATCACTGCTAAAAGAGTTATTCCACCTTCAAACAATAAAATGCAGAGAAATACTTTTGCCTCTTCTTGCTTGGAATGCCAGGAAAAAAATAAGCTGCTAATAACAACGGTTCCCGCTTCAGATGTAACTGGCTTAAGTAAACTCTCTAAATCTTTGCATTCTCAAGCATATGACCAAAATCGAAGTGTTAGTAGAATAAAGGTTTCTGAATCTTGTCTGCAGAGATGCAAGGGGCAATCTGGCTGGATTTCCAGCACCCCAAAGAGAATGATCCCCTCAGATAACACCCATAAGAAGCAGACACCTCTTTCTTTCACTTCCAGTGTCTACCTCACTATTTCCCAACAGTGTCCAAAAACAATATATTATGTAGACAAGTCTCTCTTGGTACCTGTTTATCAACCTCAGACTAATACTCAAAAAATGCATCGGTCAGTAGTGTCTTTTAATATAAATTGCAGTTCTCAAAATACAACACCAGATGGAGTGGATAGTTTAACTAATGGAGAGCTAATCACAAAAGTACTTAAGTTCCCAATGGATCATAAGACATCATTCAAAGCAATTTGGAATGCAGATCTCAAAGATAACTTCTTGGATAAAAAACAGAGACTGGAAATTGAATCTTTAGGAACCAAAGATTTCTGGAAAAATGCCTCTCCATCTGAAACTCTGTCAGTTCTGACCAGTCCTCAGGAAGCTGATAATTTAACACAAATAAAGAAGAATGATGTACCTTCAAGTGAGAATCCCAAGATATTATCTGGTTACATTCCTCATTGGGCTTACTATGAAGGTAAGTAGGTTAAAGGGATCCTAACATAATGTATGAGATATCAAAGGCTGTCTAAGCATTTATTTATTATGGGTTTATTGTGGCAGAGGCTATTTTTTTTACAGATTCTCACAAGAAAGTAAACATTACATTGTCATAAAAGGTACAGGTATTTTTTGGTATCTTGTCCATCCTACTGTTTCATGCAGAAATAAACATCTCTTGACAGGTGTTCTCCCTTATCTGATAATCTCCAGAAAAAGGGAATTCACTATTGGTCAAGGCAGTTTATTTACAGCTTAAAAGGTCTTTCCCTCTGGAAATTCTTTCTAAGGTTCATTTTGAATCTCCTTTCTTTTAATTTCAACTTGATTGATTCCCCCTTGGAATCTAGATTTCTTATCATCCCAGAAGCTTTCTTTTGAACTCTCTCTAGCTTCTCAGTGTTCTCTTTAAAATGCAATGCCCAGAATTGGAAATGCTACTCTACATGGGATGTAATAAATGCAGAGTACAAAGAACTAATTGCTTTTGTTAATGCACCCCACTGGTTTTATTTGCTTGGATATTATGAATCTGAAAACCATTCAGGAAATCTTATGTTTGCGATTTAATTATTGATTCATTAGTATTCCGACACAGCCTTTATTTGAGATTTTTTTTTCTTTCTACAAATACTGGGGTGTCCAACTGTACAGGTAGTCCTCGACTTACAATCACAATTGAGCCCAAATTTCTATTGCTATGTGAAACATTTGTTAAGTGAGTTTTGCCTCATTTTCTGACTTTTCTTGCCACAGATGTTAAGTAAATCACTACAGTTGTTAAGTTAATAATATGGTTGTTAAGTGAATCTGGCTTCCCCATTGACTTTGCTTATCAGAAGGTCACAAAAGGTGATCACATGATCCCAGGACACTGCAACCATCATAATTATGAATCATCCAAGCATCCGAATGTTGATCAAGTGATCATGGGGATGCTGCAACAATTGTAAGTGTGAAAAACATAAGTCACTTTTTTCAGTGCTGTTGTAACTTCGAATAGACACTAAATGAACAGTTGTAAGTCAAGGACCACTTGTACAAGGGATAGTTCCCAGAATCAAAGCACTAAAATATAAAGTGGACCTAATGTTATAATACAAGGTCTATTGATGCAAATACAAGTTATGTAGCCACAGCTCTTAAAGCAGAAACTAGTGAGAAATAATCATCCTAAAATTTAAAGATAGCAAATGCTCCTATGCCCATGAAAAGCTTTGTATAATTGTATGCGGGAATGATCTTAGGAGACAGGAGGAAGGGTTGCAGACTAGACAATCATCATGCAAAAGCGATCCCAATCTACAGAAGTAGAGGGAAAGATTTCAAAAGGGACTTTCCCTAGTTTTCTGGAGAGTAAGAGTAAAGGAGAGAGGCTTGCAAGATTGATGTTAGCTCTTTGAGGTAGTCCAGACAAGAAGCACACCAATGAATATTAGTTCTACTTTTATTGTAAGTATACATTAACAAAATCTTTCAATTCCTCTCCTTATTTACCTTCACTCTCCAGAAAACTAGAGAGGGTCCCTTCTGAAACACTTCCCATGCCCACCTCTGCTTCTGCAGACTGAGATACCATGTGATTGATGGTTTTCTAGTCTGTGATTTTTTTTCCCTCCAAGGTCATTCCCACATACCACTACACTTTGGCAGAACAATGATCTCTTGTATTCCCCCTGTCCATCCAAAATTGGCTCTAAAATGTTGGGGAATTCAACAGAAATGCATAATTGTATACAAAAATAAATGAACATTTAATACTGTTCTACCAAATGTGTCCCTGAACACGAGAGGCCCACATTCAGGGTAGAAATGGGGATGTCAGTGTGTTGGGTGCTATAGTATGTCACGATCCAGGCTAAAGCACACTATTATGCATTTACATTTTACATTAGTTCATGCTCCCTTTAGCTATTTTCCCATCTGAAAGCCAAAATTAGCCAAATTTGCTTTGATTTTCTGTGGCTATGTACCTCTATCTATATACTACTAAAACACTTGTCTTTAACTGGGCAAAATGGTGCACTGTAGGGCAAAATCAAGGTACCTCAAATGGCTAATTTACATCTGTGTGTCATGTCTCCCATGGACTGAAATTGTTGTAAAACATTTTATGACACAAAAAATGACCATTTTAAGACATAATACAAAATGGGATAAAACATTTCCTGTGGTCAATCCCCGATATTGGACTGTGCTATATAATTCGACATGGGCTGATTAACTTACTGAATTTTAAGAGCTTCCCAAGTACACTAGGAGCGCTGCGGCTGTTCAAGACATTGAGGAATCTGGTAAGGAAGTCTCTCTGACACGGTGAACCAACAGTTTGTCTATTATATTTAAAAATGAAAGTCAAAATATTGCTCTTAACACAATACTTACCAGGCATTTGGAAATGTGTCCGTAGGGACTAACCCACAACATGCCTACGAAACAAACCAAAAGGATCACATCTAGTAGACATCTCGTTACTTTCAGTTATCTTTGTGTTATTTACAACAGTTCAACTAGCTTTTGAAAAATGAGGTATGAAGTAAAACTATAAAGAATAGTTTGATGGAAAAAAAATAGAAAACATGCAGAGTGAATTTAGGTGGGTAATACAGCATTGACTTTCACAGGAAGTAAAAAAAATGTGCAAGGGAAATCAAAAGGCAAGTCATGTTCTTTCTTTCCTGAGCTAGAAAGTCTGAATAGGATGATTGGTCAGCTATATTATTTAAAGGTTCCCTACGGTGATCAGTATCAGTTTGTCTACCCTGTAATTCCTTTGTTTGTAGCTGCATTTGAAAGAACCATATGTTTATTATTTGTTTTAACAATGTTGACACAATGTTGCAACTATAAATCCTTGCTGCAGCCCATCTGAACTTGTATCTCAGTGGTTGTTCCCTTTGGCCCCAAATGTTAAACATTGTTAAAAGAAATCTTGTGACTGCAGAACTATTTCTTACCCGTAAGCATAGTTTGGAAGTTTTTAAAAGATTTTGCTTTTTCTTTTTCTTTTTTCTTTTTTCAATCTTACTTCATTTGGGAGGTTGCCATTAAAAAACAAGCAGTAATGAAACAATAATTAAAGACAGGAGTTTTAATTCTTCAAGAAATGTTTGCTGCTTAAAAAAACTAATTCCATCATGGAAAGGACTAAATGATAGTTCTACTAAGCATTATTCACAATAAAAATTATTAAAAGAAGCTATTGTGGTCTTTTAGACAATTGAATTGTATAGTTAATCTGGGCTGTATTTGTCTCCAAATTTGTAAGGTCTGCAAATTCAAAGCAACCAAATTTTAAAAAAAAACACATTTCTGCAATGCCATTACCATTTTTATTTTTCAGACAAAATAAGGAGATATTCACAGGCCTCATACTGCCATCATGCAAATGATGTGAATTATGCAGTACACTTGAGTCATGCCATGTGTCAAGAAATAGGCATGGCAGGTCTAGGACTGTTCTTTATTGTTACAGGGTAGAATAAAGCCTGCCCCAATTTTTATCTGCATCATCCAATACCAAACAAAATCAAGGTAGGGTTATCTTGAGTTTCTTTCTCATGCTTTTTTTCTTTCTCAGGATTGAGTAATCTTTTCTACCAGTCCTTTTTTGAAGGTTCACATTCCCAAAGCCATTCTTTCATATCAATTCCAGTGCCGTAGTCACTTCCCCGTGCTGCATGTGAAGATAGACCCCCAAATTCATCAAAAGGTGACCCTTGTCCTGTTTTTTGTTTGGCAACTACCACTGGACAGTCCGATATGCAGGAAGCAAAGAATCTTTTGCATCCTGGTGTTTATTGTATGTCAATATTGGCAGCAGTTCAGGAAACTGAGATATAGAGGGCATGGGGAACAGCACTGAAGGAATGCTTTTCTCATTCTCAGTGCTGAATAATATTTTCTGTTTTCCCTTAACAATTTGCTGAACTCTTCCCCTTTCCTAAAGCCAGATTTACATTCCTTCAGGTTGCAACTCTAATTGGCACAATTATGCTAGGGGCACATTTTTTCTATTTATTTATCACATTTAGAAAGCATATAAATATTATAATAGAAAGCAGATTAAAACAAGAATAAAACATTTAAAATTCAGAATTAAAAGGCAGGTGAAAGCCTTCAAGGTGCTAACCAGCCCCATGGCTCTGTGTACCTCTATGGCCCTTAAAGGAGTCAGCCAGATTTTCAGATATTTCCAGAAGGCCAAGCGAGTGGGGGCCCATCTTGTCTCTAGAGGGAGAATGTTCCAAAAGGTGGGGGCAACCACAGAGAAGGCCCACTCCCATGGCTGCCTTTAACTGTCAAAAGCTGCTTGACGTACTACTTTTCACTTCACCTAGTTTGTCATCTTAGCTGGTGGAGTAGCTATTGCTTTAGTATATGGGATACAAATCTATTACAGTACTATGGTAGCTCCAGAAAAGATCATACCAGTCACTTTTTCTAAGGTAGTGGCTCAGGGCAATCACCCCACTCAGGGCAATCACCCCACTCAGGGCAATCACCCCAAAAGGGCATATCCTGGGAGTAATAAGGCAATTTATAATTGCTTGTTGTAAGTCAAGGATCCAGTTTGGACTCCCATTGCTGAGGTGCTTATATAAAACAATAGACTCTAGGTTTCTGTCAAGGTAATAACATTATTCAAGACTGGGAAAAGAGTAATTGGTCAATGAGTTGTTGAATCACTGATGTAGGGAAATGGCCATTCTATAAAAAGTTTCACCTTGAATGCTAAGGGAGATATGTTACATCATCTAATATCTTAATGTATTAAACACTAGACCAAACATCATCCTACCTTGTAAATTAAACATGCAATCTGGTTAAGATCAATTCATTCCTTTGTGCTCTTATTAGTAAATATGGCCTCTTCGATGCCTTACAGCATTTTCTAGAGATGTCCTACAGGCTATTTCCAGATACTATAGAAAATGACTATATCATAAATCTCTGCTACAGCAAAGTCCCTTTCTT